TTATTAAATAACCATTAAGTCTAAAGTATTCAAAACAGGAAAAATACTTGCATATACAAGGCATGCCCCATTTACACTTTCAAAAACATCTAAGCAGTATCGGATTTTGATAGTATAGACACATTTACTGATCTTAAACACCAATAAACTCTACGTACTTTGTAGCAATTATTTACATTCTTTTCCACCGTTTTCCTTTGTTCTTCACAGAATTTTTTTCTCAAAAGATTATTTACATTCTTTTCCACCGTTACCTTCCTTTGTTCTTCACAGAATTTTTTTCTCAAAAAGCAACGGAATAAGATTATTCTCAAAACAGAATGATCTTGCTGAGAAGGCATATACACCAAAGCTGTCATTTGCTTCTGAGTAAACTCAATTTGTACACCAAGAATCAAAACTAATCCTACCAGGAATCTGGAATGGCAAGATCAGAATCAAGTTTTATCTAAGAACTTCAGATTAAAGGCTGTTTGAACTGCAACTGGCTGAGCGAAATCTTTGATGCTGCACACAACAGAGTCTGAATCTTCATTCTTTCTACCTATGTTTTGCAGGCCACAAGATGTCAGCAACAGCATTCACATAAAGTTTCACCCAAGGCCTGCTGAAAATGTAATTGCCATCCTGAACCTGTGGCCCATCACAATATTAACTCTTCTTTTAAAAGCAACGAAAAGATGAAGATAATAATAAATATTTTAGATTAGGTACGGTAATTACACAAATTTTATTTTGAAGATGTTTAGTTTTTCAGTTTGTCACACTAAAAAATATACAGCGACCAACCAATGTTCTTCAAAATGTGATATTCTGGATACACTGTCTTCAAGACAGATCAGTAAAAGATTGATCAAGGCACGTCACATCCAATACAGCAAGTGTAACCAAATATATAGACACACACACACACAGAGATTCATAGAATTGTTTAGGTTGGAAAAGACCTTTAAGATCATCAAGTCCAACTGTTAACCTAGCACTGCCAAGTCCACCACTAAACCTTGTCCCTAAGCACCTCGTCTACCCTCGTCTTTTAAATACCTCCAGGGATGGGGACTCGACCACTTCCCTGGGCAGCCCGTTCCAATGCTTGACAACCCTTTCGGTGAAGAATTTTTCCTAATATCCAATCTAAACCTCCCCTGGCACAACTTGAGGCTATCTCCCATTGTCCTATCACTTGTTTCTTTGGAGAAGAGACCAACACCCACCTCGCTACAATCTCCTTTCAGGTAGTTGTAGAGGGTGAAAGGTCTCCCCTCAGCCTCCTTGTCTCTAAACACCACACACATAAAATCAAAGGAAACTGAAGATATGGGTTTGTTTCAATGTTAAGTTCCATACAGTCTAGAGAAATCTGCTCTGTGGGTTTCAACATCACATTTACTCTAATTCCCCAATTCCTGGAGTAGTCACAAAGAAAATTGTGGATCACAACAGCTGTAAGAAAATACAAACTTCATGCTACTTATATTTTGCAAAACAATAATTCAGTTCAGTAGCAAGCAGAGAGCCAATTTGTATTCTTACCAGGAATAGATAATTTTCTTTAAAATCAATTTTTAAATAATTTAATTGCTTCAAAGAATTACCATTAAATAACTTTAAGAACACTAAAGACTGAACTGATAATGATTAGTCAGGCTGTGAAAGAACTAACTTTCAATCCCACTACTTCTGCACTACCCGAGCACACAGATACATACACCATGGCACAAGGCATCATCACCTTCTAACACAACTTCATTCATAAGAAGCACTGCAAAATGTACACCCGATGTGCTACTGTGTAAGTGTTCTTCTCAAGAACTACCGTTCAACAACTTTGAAGATGCCAACATAAAATGCATAAAACTTGCACCAAGAAACTTGACAATGACATCATGATACGTGATGCACAAAGCGTTACAAGACTGAAAAGAAACCCTGATTAGAAATGTGCATAAATTTGGACTCTTCAGTTCAGTCACCACACAAACCAACATGTCCACAAAAATAACTCAATTGTGGACAATCTGAAAAAACTCTGAACTCTAACGATATTGGTAATTTATACATGAATGCACAGTGACAAGAGGTTGCAATACCAGAACACCTACTCAGTATCTCAAGTAGTATTTTCCTCTATGAGTGCATCTTTCACTAACAGGCATCCTCTGCAGTACAAAACACATTATGTTTTGAATACATTTCAGTATCTTAATGTATCACACTAAAGCATGTTTATATTTCCTTTGAGAGATGTTAATCTTACCTGAATATCCCATAAGAGGGGTATGGCTTCTGCAAACAGATCTACTAGCAGAGAGGGGTGCTTTTCCTATACATGTGGTATTCAGGCCTCGCACAGAAGAACAACTTGTGAGATTCAGTGTGCTTGTATTTTCTACACAAGAACTTTTGTCTCCAAAATATGATTCTGAGGGTGGGTAAAAAAAAAAAAACACTTTTGAAAACAGACACATTAAATTGTGTATCATTTAGCTGAAAAAGATATTTGAATCAGCTTTTATTCAGAAAGCAATATACAAATATACAGCTTAGAAACCTCTATTTCTAGTAGGAAAAATAAAGTTATCCAAGCAATAACCTTTAATGTCATTCTATAAAAGTTCTCCAAAGTAGTACAAGTATAAAATGAAATAAAAATCAGTCTGTTTTGAAACAACACTTGTATCAGTATGGTTATTTTCCACAATGACGTTACTTGCAGCATCAATAAAAATCTTTGTTTACATTGTTCGACCGAAATAATACAATAGATGTCACTTTACAGTGCAGAATTTCATATTCTAGTAAATTCTAGATTTATAAGAATGCTGTAAGTCAGCTCTCTCTTGCATTTGCCCATCAGTTTTAAAATCCATATTTGGAACTGCACATGTGTTTATGAAAATGTTATTTTTCTTAAAGCTGAGCATTCTTTTTTTAAAAAGGACGATAAAAGAAAACAAATAACCATGCTCCAAAACTCCTCCACTTGAGAACGATCTCCCTTTGAATTTGTAAGGTTAAACTCTCAGAAATCATACAATAATCTGGGACATGTCTATTATCTGCAGTTTCTTTTACACACGTAACTTAAGATTTATGTATATTTTCAAGTCCTGCAAAATCTCTTTTTCTCGGATCATTCTTTAGTTTCAATAAATTATTTAACTTATTTTCAGTTCTCTTGAGATGACTAAAACCAACATCACATCATTAACCTAACTTGGATAATTGCTTTTTAAGATTAAAAATGAATTAAAATATGAACAGAGTTTTTCCACTTAAAACTTACAAAATTCCAGGTATTAAGAGACATGCAAACCCAAATGTTTCTGTCCCTTCTGTTACATTAAAAATTGATCTACAAGACAAAATATTTCAGTATTGTTCTCAGGTGACCCATAAACTGCATGACATTTTCTCACGGTTGGTACAACAATATTTATAGTACTGGGTTTTTATTTTGGGGGGTAGTTTTTTTAAATCTTAGAAAACTACGACAGCTGAAAAAAACCCATTGTTAGTTCAGGCTGTAATTCTTAGAATGTACTGAATCTGGCATAACATGGCAAAAAACGTAACTCGAGAGACCAGATTAATTAAAACATCTACAGGTATTTTTTAAAACCAACATTCAACAAGTAAGTTACGTCCTACTCAAATTAGCATTCTGAGTTTTGTTTGGTGGTTGTTTGGATTTTTTAGGATTCATGACTGATCAGGTATGTTACCCAAAACCATGTTACCTTCTTCCCAATTTAGGTGTAATGGAGATGTATGTGCTTCAGAATACATGTCAGCAAGTGTTAAAAGAATTTCCAATTCTTTTTATAGTTTTTCCACTGAAAAAAATACAGACTGAACCATTTTTTTCTGCCTGCCGAGACAGAGACTTTGACAGTAGGATCAAGTCCCAAGAACTGCTTGATGCACATGTGTTCAGTATGCAGGAGCTGTTGAGGGGTCTTGTCCTCAGGGGGAAGCCAGAAGACCGGTGTTAATAGCAGCTTTGTGTAAAGAATGGCAAACAGCAGCGTTCTGTTGTAGGACCACAACATTCCTACCACACATCAAGGATAACAGTACATAAAAAAACCAAACCAAACCCAACCAACCAACCAAAACCCCAAAACCCAAAACCAACTGAATGCGGCTCAGGTCTCTAGTAAAACAAATACTGTGTTGCTATTTGAACCAGTTTATTGACCCCAGCAGGCAACTCCGATACTGCTATCTAAAAAGCTGACGTAAAGAAAAATAATAAAGGTTTATTTAAACAATGTGAGGAACGACTACCATTGGTCTGACGGGCTGAACGAAAAAAAAAAAAAAGAGGTCTCCCAGACGAAGAGATGCTGCTGCCCACTGCTCAGTACGAGTACCGCTTGTAACAGCTCTTTCGAAGCCCGATCCAAGCGAAGAGGGCAGGAGGATAAAAGAAAAGGATGAAGACGCGGACAGAGATGGCAACACCGCACCCCCCCTCCTCTTCCGGGAACCTGCGGCTTCGCCCTGCCACCACTG